TGACAGCAGAGATTGAAGGAAAATGTGTAGATATTTCCAGGCAGAAGGAACAGTAAGTGCAAAGGCCCTGAGGCAAAAAGATGTGATATGATGGGCAACAGCAAAAGGACAATATGATGGGCAGAGTGAGGGAGGAAGACGGTGGCGGAAGCTTCGGTGGGAGAGGTAGCCAGAGGGCAGATTATTCAGAGAGTTGGAGGCCCTGATAAAGACATCTGATTTTATTCTCAATGTTATTAGAAGCCTTTATTGGGGAGAAAGGGGCTTTGTTTGATGACATGTGACCTCAGCTGACTTCGTTTTTAGAGGAAAGTGTAGAAAATTCACTGGATTTTCAAGAGGACATTTTTAGGATTTCATAAAGCAATGCCATATGCAAGAAATAATCATATCCTTCTATTTTCATTATAAATGAGTATATTAAAAATAATATTAAAGCCAGTTGAAACTTCTTAATCTTCACCGTGTTACTCTCATGTTGCTAAAACATTTCTATGTTCAAGTTGTTTATTCTGTCCTCAAATATGACTGATGTCCAGGCATATTTGACTTTGGATATAACAGGAATAAGTAATATCTACCAGTTCAAGTGTCCAGGAGTTCACATTCTGGTTGGGGAGAGACACGTTTAAAATAATTATAGTTCGTGTAGTTTGTAGGGACATGGATGAATCTGGAGAACATCATTCTCAGCAAACTGACACAAAACAGAAAATGAAATACCGCATATTCTCACTCATAGGCGGGTGATGAAAAATGAGAACACATGGACACAGGGAAGGGAGTACTAAACACTGGGGTCTATTGGGGGGAATAGGGGAGGGACACGGTGGGGGAGCTGGGGAGGGATAGCCTGGGGAGAAATCCCAAATGTGGGTGAAGGGGAGGAAGGCAGCAAAATACCCTGCCATGTGTGTACCTATGCAACTGTCTTGCATGTTCTGCACATGTACCCCAAAACCTAAAATGCAATAAAAATAAATAAATAAAATAATTATATACAGATAGATTAGTAACACCAGGGTATAACTGTATCATAGGAGAAATAGAATTCTGTTTATAAATCAAATCGAGAGAGAGAGAGAGAGAATAGATTTGTGAGTGCACAAAGTGATGGGGGACCATGTTAGAATAGATTTCCCAGGTAGGTGGTTGGAAGGTGGGTAGGAGTTGACTAGGATGGGTTGGGTGTGACAGCAGAAAAAGCCATTCGATTCAAATGGGCAGGCTTGTTAAGAGAATGTGTATCTTTTTGCGCAGCTGAAGCATGAGTGCTCAGGAGCTGGGAGATCTGATTAGAAATGAGGGTTAAAAAATGGGTAGTGGTGGCCAGGCTTGGTAGCTCATGCCTATAATCCTAGCACTTTGGGAGACTGAGGCAGGTGGATCACGAGGTCAGGAGATGGAGACCATCCTGGCTAATATAGTGAAACCTCGTCTCTACTAAAAATACAAAAAATTAGCTGGGCATGGTGGCATGCGCCTGTAATGCCAGCTACTCCAGAGGGTGAGGCAGGAGAATCACTTGAACCCGGGAGGCAGAGGTTGCAATGAGCCAAGATCACGCCACTGCACTCCAGCCTGGGCAGCAGAGCAAGACTCTGTCTCAAAAAAAGAAAAAGAAAAAGGAAAGGAAAGGAAAGAAAGAAATGGGTAGTGGTTGTAGAGAGCCTGGTTCCATGTTGAAACTTAGGTCTGGTCTTTCAGGCATGGAAGGATAAACACAGATTTGTAAGCCAGAGCACCATGGCATTGTGGCTTGGGAAGGAAAAGGCAGGAAGGTAAAGGATGGGGTTGGTGGGTGAGGTTTTCAGAAATGAAAGTTAAGTTATTGGATGGGGAAAGACAAGGGAAAAGGAGGAGGTTTCTTGGGTAACTGGGAGTAAAGGAAGTCCAAGAGGGGTGGACTTGGGGTGTAAATGAATATAGTTTGAATTTCTTTGTGACTTATTCAAGACAGCCATGAAAGAAGATACCCAATGCACAGCGGGATGTGGGTCAGGAGCTAAAAGGCCATGAGCTAGATAGAAATGGAGATAGATCTGGAGATTACAGACACATCAGTGGTGGCTGAAGCCCTAGAAATTGGCAAGATCACTGAGGAAGCGAGAACTGGAATTCATATGTTTTTACTCATTAGTGACTCCTTACAATGCCTGTATGTTCCATTGTTTTCATTTGATTTCCCATTTTCACTCTCACTCTGGGAGAACTGTTTAAGAAATAAATTTGAAGGAGTTCTAAATCAAATTCCAAGGTTTCTCTGTCACCCGGGTGGCTTTCTTCTGTGGATATGTCCAAGCCTTGTTATAAGGCAGTGGACTGTTTAGTAACTCAGAGAACTCTGCAGGTGTTTGTTCGACATTTGCCAAGCTTTAGCATAGAATTCGTATTTCAGGCTCCTTGTGTAGCTCTGAAGAATTAATAACAAAAGCTACTCACATGGTCTGACACTTGTTATGAGACACACCTTGGTTAAGTGCTTTTCCTACATAATCCTGCATGATATTATAGGATTATCGTTGGTTTTCCTACAGTGTTGCAATCCTCACAATAAGAAGTTATGAACCTGTACTCTTATTACCTCTGTCTTACAAAGGAGGAGATGGAGGTTCTCAAAAGCAGTGTCAGGTACTTGCAAAAAATGGCACTACCAGGACTACCAGGGTCTGTCTTGTGCCACAATGCTGTCATGAACGCCGTGCCTACTGCCTCCCCTTCCGAAGGATGTACCATTTTAAACTGGTACATTAAAAGAGAGCTGTGGCACAAGAAGTCCAAAGCCTTGTTTATGGAATCAAACTTATAGGCTTTATTTTAATGTTAGCTGTGTTAAATAATTCACTCATCAGATACTCATTTTCTGACATAATTGTCAGTCATGTTGGGTTTGTTTGATCTCTGTGAAGGATTAGAATAACTTCAAGGTTTTATCTGGAAGTAGCCAAGATACAAATATTGTAATGACAGCAATCCTGCCTTAGAAGCCCACTGGGAAAGCCTGCTAGCCCCCAGATGCAAGGCAGTGTGGTGTAGTAGGTCTAATTAGAGTTTCAAAGGGTCTAACTGCATGTAAATAAAAATTGTTTAAAGTCAGGCAGACTGGAGCTTGAGCCCTAATGACCCTGCTTGCCAACTCCCAGCGTCAGTTTTCTCATCTATAAAATTGAGGTAATAATAGTACCCACCTCTTGGGGTTAATGTGACGTTTAGTTACAAGTAAAAGCTTTAACATTGTAACTGACACATTGTTAGTTGTCAGTAAATTAAGTAGCACCTACTGAAGAGGTGAAGAGAAAGGAAATAACTACAGTAACATTTTAAAACCTTACAATTGCAGATGAGTAAAATTGCAAAATAATGAGAGGACTCTGTTCATTCATTCACTCACTCATCCATTCACTAAGATCCCCCTCTGCATGTTGGGTTGATGTGGGTTCTGGGAACGTCAGGATGAACAAGATACAAAATGAGACATAGTCCGTGGCCTCCAGCTGCACAGACTCCTGCCTCAAATTCCACTATATATTTCCTGGAAGACAAGTCCTCGTTTTAAACAAGGTTTAGCAAGTCACATTTAAAGTCTTATAAGTGGCATGTATAGGAGAGAATCGTCGGAGAATTAATGGTCCTTAAAGTGCCCACAGAGTGATAGACTCTCAACCCTGAGGAGGAGAAATATCCTCTTCTGCACTACCTGTTCTGCTAGGTGGTTGTCACACCACAGCTCTGGCTTCCACAGGCACCTTGTTCAATTGATAGGCAAAGACGATTCCAGAGAAATAATCATGATCATGTGACTTGGAGAAGGTGTCTCAGAATAGGAAGTGGGACTGCGGGGGAGGTGAAAACAGGACAGCAAGGGTCAGAGAGAGTGTAAGATAACATGTAAGCGCACAGGTTTTATTGAAAGAGCTCTGGGTTTCAGTCCTCAGACAGATGCTCGACTTCTCCAAGCCTAATTTCTCCTATCTAAAATAAAGATAGCCATAAAAATGGAATGAAATAATGGCTTTTGCAGCAACTTGGATGGAGCTGGAGGCCATTGTTCAAAGTGAAGTAAATCAGGAACAGAAAACCAAATACCATATGTTCTCACTTATAAGTGGGAGCTAAGCTATGAGGAAGCAAAGGCATAAGAAGAATAGAGCAAATTTGGGGGACTTGGGAGGAATGGTGGAGGCGGTGAGGGATAGAAGACTACATATTAGGTACAGTGTACACTGCTCTGATGACAAGCACACCAAAATCTCAGAAATCACCACCAAAGAACTTGTCCATGTAACTGAAAACCAACTGTACCCCAAAAACTATTGAAACTTTTAAAAAATATATATCTGGATTACAGAAAGAAAAAATTAAATTTTTTTTGAATAATAAAATAAAATGGAAATATTATAATATTTAGTTTGTAAATAGTTGTGACAATACATTTCGAGTGCCCTTCAATAGTAAGTATCTAGCTCTGTCCATATTCCTCCTGCAAAGGATGCAATCTCATTTTTTCATGGCTGTGTAATATTCCATGGTGTATATATACCACATTTTCTTTACCTGAGTGACAAAATAATCTGTACATTAAACCCTAGTGGCACAAGTTTACCTATATAACAAACCTGCACATGTACCCATGAACCAAAAACAAAAGTTTCTTTTAAAAAAAATAGTAGGTATCTAATATGTACTAACACTTAGCATCCTCAACCTCATCATCTCTGAGGAGGTGACAGTCATTCAGTTTCCATATTTGCTTTGAATGCTTTGCAGGTTGTTGTGGAAGATAACAACTAGATGCATAAGTGAAAGGAGCAAATCTCGCACATTTACGGAATTCATTTATGTCGTCATTGAATGTAATGTTCACCCTTTCTTCCACTCCAGGGTGAGGTTAGTTAACTAGGATTATGCTAGGACTAGATAGAGCAGAGCGGAAGAAAAGCAGCTAAATGTTGCTCCTTGGCTACCCGCGGCCACTCTGACTCTTTCCCTTTTCCTGGCAGGCACTTCCTCTTCAAGACCTCCTCGGGGAGCACACCCTTGTTTAGCAGCTCTTCCCCAGGATACCCTTTGACCTCAGGAACCGTTTACACGCCCCCGCCCCGCCTGCTGCCCAGGAATACTTTCTCCAGGAAGGCTTTCAAGCTGAAGAAGCCCTCCAAATACTGCAGCTGGAAATGTGCCGCCCTCTCCGCCATCGCTGCGGCCCTCCTCTTGGCTATTTTGCTGGCATATTTCATAGGTAAGTTAGGGCGGCCTTATTCAGCAACATTGGGGGTGACAACGTGGGGGAGAGGCCACGGATTTGTGAATCCAGATGTCCTCTATGTCTGTACAATTTGCTTCTTGGCTCCTGAAAGATGTGATAATGAGTGATGGATAGAGGTGATTTTTTTCCTTCCTGAAATCCACTTAAATCTGATGAGTTTCTCCTTCATGTTTCTAAACGACATTCATCAGAAGGGAAATTAAGCATCCTTACTATATCCTTTCTTGGAGATGAGCTGAGACTTGTCATTCCCGCAAACCTATCCCTCACTCTCAGAGTGGCCTTCTAGTCTTCTCCCTCCTTGGATTTTAACCCATGTCTGTGCTTTGAAATGTATGCAACACTGGTTAACGTCAGCCAAAAACCAAATTGAAGAATAGTGGTTGGCATGCCTGAGAACATCTTGATTCGAGAGAAAGCCAAAGTAGCTAGCTTATTTTCAGAGCTGTGGAACAGAAACAGGACTGACAGGCTGGAGCATCCATCCAGGTCTTTATACAGACTCGAATTACCCAGACACAGCTTGCCTTGGCCATATCCCTTCCGCAGCCTCAGCTCTCTCCTCACCATGGGTGGTTGAATCTGAATCAGGGTCACCTCTCCTGGTAGCTGGGCTTGTGGTGACTCAGTGTGTGACATAGGTGAAGTCGCTGGAGTATCTGTCTCCCGATGCCAAAGGTGTTGGTTTACAGCCACAGGGTGTAGCCCTGTCACCCTGGAAAGTGACAGATGCCAAGCACCCAGGGGCAGGGTGCCATGTACATAAGAGCATCTCGGGCTGCACACAAAGCCTGCTCACGGCTCCTGGCCCCAACAAAGAGCCCCAGTGCTGCTGCTCTGTCAGCCGAGCCTGCCAAAGGCAGATCTCCTGGCTTAGGAAGAGCCCATGGTGATGTCTGTTAAAGTTTATTTGAAACACTTGATGGTTCTGGCTTGGTTTCAGGGCAGCTATGACAGACCTGCCCAGTTTGGCTGTGCCATGTTGCAAAGCAAACCCATAAAACACCAGCTCAGTGAAGCTGACTCCAAAACAGTTCCCAACATGTATGCTGAAACTCCTCCCATTGAAAAGAAGAGAAAAGGCCACCCTGACCGTGTTGGCCTTGCCCCTTCCCTCAACATAAGCCCTCCCTTCTCGCTCAGCACTGGGGGCTCCCACACTTCCTTCACTCCCAGGCAGCAAGCATAGCATCTGCCAAAGAAGGAACTAGCCCAGCACTTCCCAGACCATTCTACCTTAGCTTGCCTGATGGCAAAGGGACATGACTGTGCACCCAAGGCAGACCAATGCAATGTAACAACTGACATAAATTTTTCACTTTCCTCCATAACATAGTTATGTTTGTCTTAATATGGAAAAATAAGCATTTATATTCCCTACCAGTTGCATTTCTCAGGAATGCCCTCCCAGAGTGAGAAAACTGACCCTTCAGGGAAAGGTGTCATGCTCATCTGGGGCTTTGCAAAAGTGTAGTTTGCACTCTACACCACAGCTCTACATGGGAACTGAGGCCTAAGACCCACACGCCCCTAATTTCAAGTCATGTCTGCTTCTCACTTACCTCTTGATGAAGCGTGGAGTCATGGATGGACCGGAGAAAGGCACAGGGATATCTGTTGTCCTGCTGAATCACTTGAGTAGACTCTGGTGTGTTGCTAAAGGTGGCTTTGTGTGTTTCCCCAGGTGGCTGTTCGGGGGCTCCGTGGAAGCAAATTGAATGTGCCTTTGGGGTCTTATCATGATTTGGCTTTGTGTCAGAAACTTCAGAAAGGGTCCATGTGTTCGCTGTTCAGGCTTAATGTTCTGCTGGGTCAGCGAGCACCACCACGAGCCCAGATACAAAAATTGTGGTACTGCCTGCCTCTGCCAATAGCGTCCCCAGTGCGCCTTCTACTCTACTTGCTGGAGAGAGATAGATGGCTACTGCCTGATTTATGGGGCTTGGTAGTTAAAATAGAATAGCTTTCTTTAAGGGTGATCATATACATGGGAAACGGTATAGTGAGAGTTTAATGTTTTAATCAGGTATGTAACTTGTAAATGACAGACTAGGAAATATATTTATTTTTAGTCTGCAGGCTACTGGAAGCTGGACCTGAGCATCTTAGCATGGTGTATTGGTTTATAATCCATCATTTCCTATTATATATTCTTTAGGTAAGATTATGCTTTGACCCTGGAGTATCAAAAAATAGTTTATAACCCAAAATGAGTGATGTAATGGGCCAATTTATGCTGCAGTGATGGCAGTAAGCATGCAGCTGTAGGGCTACTCTCAGCCACTCTCCAGAGCTGACCGCAGGTCTGCAAGCATGGTAAGGGGTCAGGATCTGAAGTGCTGATCTTGGCCCCAGTGATTCCTTTCTCCTTAGCCTTGGCAAATTTCTTTATCTTTTGGATCTGGGTTTCCTAAGTACAACATGGGGGCAGGATGGTTATTTACATGCAGAAACTCAGAAGTATGGTGAGGATTAATTAATGTGTATAAATCACTTTGAAGATGAAAAGCAGTATATTATTACTTACAAAGCTGCAGGGGCATAAACAGTGCATTGCAAACACAGAGAAAAGTGCCTTTGGGAAGAACCAATGATTGCGCCTACCTGGAAAACAAGCCATCAGGGAAGGGCAGAAAGACCACATAAAAACCAAGGCCCTCCTGTTCAGGAGACCGGCGCTTTTAAGAGCTGAGTCCATTCTGGTTCACACATGACTCTGCATTCCACTAGAACAGGACAGGTCCTGAAATTGATGCATCAGCCCCAGGATGGACAGGCAGTGGGTTCAACCCTGCCAGGCACTATGACAAATAAGTCAAATTATCATCCTTGCATGTTCAAACCTGAAGAAACAAGACTTTCCAGAAATGAGCAATTTGGAATAGCTCAGCCCCCTGACAAGTTCTTCCATAGATCCAGGCCCGTGGGTGGGTGTAAAAGCAGAATGCCAGCCCTTGTGCAAACTGGAAGACCCAGGCCTTTACCAGTTCAGCAAAGATGCCCAGTTCCTATCCACACAGCTGGGGTCAGAGAACTTTTATGATATGCTCCTCCATCAGACCCTCTCTGTGCCAAATTCTCTCAGTGTACAAACATCCTGGAATAAATTACTCTGAAAAGCGGCATAAACCACCAGGAGACCACTTTGTGCATCACTCAGGCCCTGGCACAAACAATTCCTGGGGAATACTGGTTTAGGGGAATGTGGCTGTGAAATGCAAGAGACTTTCCTCTAAGGAAAATGTCTTTCCTCTTTAGGCAGCTCAAGTAGTTTCATTGCCTAGACCACCAGAAGTCCCTAAGTGTCTGAATCATGTAACCAAACTATTTTATAACCAACCTCACCTATTTTATACCAAATGTCTTGTGTTATCTTTATAGTATGCATAACAATAGCAGCTTAGAACTAGAAGCATTTCCATTTGAAGCACTTTTTTTTGTGTGTGTGTGTGAGACAGAGTCTCACCCTGTTGCCCAGGTACCCAGGCTGGAGTGCAGTGGCATGATCTCGGCTCACCGCAACCTCTGCCTCCTGGGTTCCAGTGATTCTTGTGCCTCAGCCTCCCAAGTATTTGGGATTGCAGTCCTGCACCACCATGCCAGGCTAATTTTTGTATTTTTAGTAGAGATGGGGTTTTGCCATGTTGGCCAGGCTGGTCTCGAGCTCCTGGCCTCAAGTGATCTACCCACCCCAGACTCCCAAAGTGCTAGAATTACAGGCATGAACCACCACACCCAGTCCATTTCAAGCACTTTTATATAACTATTCAATTTGAATCATATCTCCAGTTGTCAACCAACACTCTAGCAGAAAATAAAATCAACACATTATGATCATTTGACAGGCATTGACATGGAGGCCCAGAGAGTCTGAAGTCTCCTGACTAGTAGGTAGTTGCAGGACCCACGCTAGGCCCTTGATCTCTTGATGTCTCATCGAAGGTCTTCTTTCTCTTCACTGCTTTCTCCTCAAGATTGCAGTTAACCAGTTTCTCACATACTGTATGAACTGAAATAAATGATACCTTTGGTAGCATTAACTCACCTTATCTATTTCTGTCCTCTTTAGCAAGGCAGAGTAGTTGGTTTCTCCTTCTGAATCAACTTCTAACACAGTGAATGGAAAATATACCTCCTTCTTAGTCTTTTTTTTTGAGAGAGAGTCTTACTCTGTCTCCCAGGCTGGAGTGCAATGGCATGATCTCGGCTCACTGCAACCTCCACCTCCCAGTTCAAGCAATTCTCCTCCCTCAGCCTCCTGAGCAGCTGGGATTATAGGCATGTGCCACCATGCCTAGCTAATTTTTGTATTTTTAGTAAAGACAGAGTTTCACCATGTTGGTCAGGCTGGTCTCAAACCCCTGACCTCATGATCCACCCATCTCAGCCTTCCAAAGTGTTGGGATTACAGGTGTGAGCCACCGCACCTGGCCCCTCCTCAGTCTTATAATCTGTCCTCATGTTTCTGCTTTCCACTTGTCTTGTGCTATAGAGGTCAGAAAACCTTTTCTGCAAAAAGCTGGAGAGTAAATATTTTCGGTTTATGTGCTACTTTGTGACAACTGCTTAACTCTGCTGTTGTAAGTTCAAAACAGCCATAGACAGTGTGTAAACCAACAGGCATGGCTGTGTACCCACAAAACTTTAATTATGCCCCCTGGGATTTGACTGTTATGTCATTTTTATGTGTTGTGAAATATTATTTTTAAAAAGAAATTTCAGCCACTAAGAATGTAAACCCATTGTTCAGGTTATGTGCCATACGAAAACAGGTGGCAGATTGGATTTGGCCCACAGGCCATAGTTTGTCAACCCGTGTTTGATCACATGGCAGCTTATTTCCTAAGAATACCTTTCAGGGTGTCTACATCTTTATGACAAAAAATTGCTTTCCAACTGGCTAATGGTCCAACCGTGTGTCCGCTGTCAATGAAGCAGGTGACTGACATCTTCTGATAACGCAACTCCATCTA